CAATTGAGGGGGAATGAAGTAACTTCACTTCCTGGCTTGCTCTTTAAAATGCAGTGGGGGCCTGGATAAGGCTGGTTCTTGGAAAGACAAAGGAAGATCTGTTAGTAATCTCCATTCCTTTCATTTTTTTGTTTCCTTGTTTTGGTGTACTATGATGTTTACCGAGGACATAGAGCCAAAGCATACCACCCAAGTGAAAAATGGCAAATAGAGGAGGGAGCCGCCCAGCAAGGCTGGCACCTTGCCCTCGAGTGCTTTAGTGCTGTTAGCCAGAGAGCCTGCCTCCTTCCTGCAGATAGGTGCTGACACAAACCTCCTTCTGCGTGGCCACAGGAGAAAGCTTGGCAGGCCTGGAATGGCTCTCTGGCAAAGGGAGGGAAGATTTGGCCTGTTTGTTAGCTTTGGTAGCACCTATGCTTGGCCTTGTGCCACCACCATCATAGAAAGCAAATGGAGTGGGATTGTTTTGTGACCAGGTCCCTTTCTGGGGGATGTGGGCTTCTCTGGGGACTTCCTATGGGGTGCAAATGGCAGAGCAGTTCACTGGCAGGCTGTTCTGCAGAAGCTGTGCAGAGCCAAAACAGGTGGGAGCGATGACACTGACAGTGGTGTCAGTGCCATCCTGGTATGCAGCAAGACATAGGGCTCATAGCTTTCTGCCTAGCAAGCCACTTGCTAGCCCCTTGCGTGGCTCCCATGCAGAAGCAGGGCCACTCAGCGTGTGCTTCGCAGGGGGGAGTGTAAGGAATACTTATTTTATGAGGAAATTTAAACGTTACACAAATTACAGAAAAGTTCAGCATCCTGATCTAGCTGTAGCTGTCCCTATGTATTGCAGGGGGATTGGACTAGATGGCCTTTAGAAGTCCCTTCCAACTGAAATGATTCTATGGTGATTCTAGGACATCTGAACAGCAGGGGAGAGGAGTGCAGCCAGCCTTTGCCCTTTCTGTCCCATCTACCACTTTTTTTTTTTTTTTTTGCATTTTTGTTAGTGACTTGAACAGTATCTGTTAAAAGTGGAAGGCTGCACAGACACCACTGTTGCCTATGAAGACATATGTGCAGTGGAGTGAATGTCAGGAGGGAAATCCTCCCAACACAGCGTCATGCATCTCAGTGCTGTGCATGGATTGTGGCTCCCAGAGATGAGCTAGAACAAAGAGCACAAGGAACCAACCTAGGGAAATAAAGTACTCTGAGGGGCTGATTTTAAAGTACATTTGCTGAGACTGTTAATCATGGAACACACAGGAAATCAATTTAAAATGATGTCATAATAATAGCACATGAAAGGAACACAAACATTGCATAACTTGTATAAACAGAAAGGGATTTGTGTGCTGACACTTGTGTAAGTGCAAAGCTGAAAGGCAGGCAGGTGTGCAGCCTGTGGGCCAGAGGGTGTGGAGAGCTTTTCCAGGAACAGAGCTCTGCTTGTGCCTCCCTGTGCAGCCATTCCAGCACCTGACCACTCTCTGAGAGAAATAGGTCTAATCTAAGTCTCCTCTGGCACAGCTTGTGCCTGTTTCCTTTGATCCTGTTTGTTGTCTGGAAGAAGAGGCCAAACCTCTCCTCACCACAACCTCCAGGAAGCTGTAGAGTGCAGTGAGGTCTCCGCTGAGCCTCCTCTTCTCCGCACTGAACAATCCCAGCTCCCTCAGCCGCTCCTCATAAGACTTGTGCTCCAGACCCCTCACCCACCAGCTTTGTTGGTGAGGGGCCCAAAACTGAACACAGCACTCGAGGTGCAGCCTCACCAGTGCTGAGTACAGGGGATGCTCACCTCCCTGCCCCTGCTGGCCACACCATTCCTAATGCAGGCCAGGATGCCGTTGGCCCTCTTGGCCACCTGGGCACACTGTCGGCTCCTGTTCAGCCGAGCACCAACCAACACCCCCAGGTCCCTTTCCTCTTCACCGTCATCCAGCCACTCATCCCCAAGCCTGTAGCGCTGCATGGGGCTGTTGTGCAGCACCCGGCACTCAGCCTTGTTGAACCTCATCCCATTCACCTCAGCACAGCGATCCAGCTTATCCAGATCCCTCTGCAGGGCCTCCCTGCCCTCAGGGAGATCCACACCACCTCCCAGCTTGGTGTCATCTGCAAACTTACTGAGGGTGCACTCAATGCCCTCATCTAGATCATCAGTAAAGATGGGCCCCAGTACCGAGCCCTGGGGGACACCACAGTCGCCAGCTGGACTTAGCTCCATTAACCACTACCTGCTGGTCATGGCCCTCTAGCCAGTTCCTTACCCAAAGAAGGGTAGACCTGTCCAGGCCACAGACAGCCAGTTTCCCCAGGAGAATGCTGGACTTGTCACATGGACTTGTGACAGTCCAGATGGAGGGGGAGCTCTCTAACTGTCTCCACCTGAATCACCAGGGGTGTATTCTGCACAGCCAGATCAGGGCGTAAATTGCCCAGAGGATAACCAATCTGCCTATTAAAGGCAGATGAAAAGAAGGCATGGAGGACCTCAGCCTTCTCCTTATCCTCATTCCCTGCTGCATCAAGTAAAGGATGGAAATTCTCCTTGGTTCTTCTCTTGCTGTTGATATATTTGTAAAAGGATTTCTTATTCTCTTTTACTGCAGTGGCCAATCTGAGTTCAAGTTGGGCTTTTGCCCAACTTCCTTGTAATCTCCCCATGTAGCCAAACCCTTCTTCCAGAAGACGCAAGACTCTCTTTTTCTTCCGGAATCTCAACAATAGTTCCCATTTCATCCACACTGGTCTTCTTCCCCTACAGCTTGCCTTCTGGCGCTGTTCTTGTGCCTTTAAGATTGCCATCTTAAAGAGCGTTCTGAGCAGGTCAAAGTCCTCCCTCTGGAAGTTCAAGATTGCAGTTTTGCTAGCCACCCTTCTGACATCTCCAAGAATACAGAATTCTACAATTTTGTGGTCACTCTGCCCAAGACAGTGCCCACCCTTTACATCTCCCACCAGTCCTCTGTTAGTGAAGAGCAGGTCCAGCAGGGCAACAGCCCTGGTAGTCTCTCGTACCAGCTGTGTAAGGAAGCTATCTTCCACACACTCTAGAAACCTCTTGGACTGCCTCCTCTGCGCTGTATTGTATTTCCAACATATATCCGGGAATTTTAAGTCTCCCACGAGAACAATTGCTGGCAATCACACAACTTCCGCAAGCTGCTCATGGAATGCCTTGTCCATCCTTCACCCTGATTAGGCAGTCTGTAACAGGACCCCACCAAGATGTTGCCCCTATGTGTCTTCTCCCTGATCCCTACCCACAGACGCTCAACTTTATCATTCCTAACCCCAAGCTCTTCAACATCAAAACATTCCCTAATTTTGTTTGTTCTTTCAACCAAAAGCTGCAAATTAGGGACCAAGTCACTCCAAAGCAGGTGTTGTCATGTGTCCTACACATGATAAAGACCTGCAGAAGTTGTAGAGTTACTGCAGCTCTCTGCTGCTGTCTCTACAGGCTGTCTAAGTTGCTTTGCAAGTTAGCCAAATGTGTACTTGCAAATTAGCTTAGGATGTCTGTTCTCAATCATATCCAAGCCTGCAGAGTCAGGGAGCAATCAGAAATATATATATTAGTGGAAAAAACTCATGACTTGAAGATATTTCTGTGGCTCTGTCAGACTTGACATGTGTTTTTCAAATAATTATTGACATCGTCTTATTATGGTTTTTATTTTGATTAGAAATTGTTTTTCTTGAGTTATTACAACTGCATCTAAAAAGCTGGTTTGCAAAGATTATGCAAATGCAAAAGAAACTATAGAAATAATCCCTGCCAGAAACGGCAATACTGTCACTTTCTTGGTATACAAGAACTTGGAGAGAGCAGGCTGGATTTTGTCTAATTATTTAAAAAATATGGTGCTCAGACAGCAGATAAATCAAGAAAAGTGCCTGGCCCAGAGAAATTGCTTCTGATGTTCTAAATTCAAGATGATCGGGTTTCCTCTTTCTGCAAGGCACTGTCACATCTTAAGTACCTCACAGCATCAGAGATGGAGGAAGGCAGCAGCTGAACACAGCCTGAACTGCCCATGCACAATAGATCCTGGCAGTGTCTTTTTTGGAATGAATACAAAAACGTTGATAGTATTATGGTTTAAGTGGTATGTGATAATAAGCTGATTCATTTCCTGCTCAGATTCTTGTCCAAATGTTAGATCTGTTTTGTTGTTGTTGTCTAAGAAGCAGTTAAAGAGGTCTCTCTGCCTCCTAGCATGGTGTTTCTCATCTCCATACAGGAAACAAACTCTAAATGGTTCTGCTGCAACTTGATCGTATACTCAGGAATGTTTCTCTTCAACACCACCACCACCAAAAAAGGAGCACTTTTTTAATTGTATCAAGGTAGGATGAGGTCCATGTCCACACTCCCCTCTCTGCTGAGGAAGCACATTAACATTTGGGCCTTTCCTGCAGTGAAAGGCTTCAGCACGCATGTTCCTGTTCCCAGCCTTGGAGCAGGGGAAATCTTTCCTCTTCATAGGAAATCTCAGTGCTGGGATGCTACACCCTCATTTCCTACCACCACCTGCCTATCCTCTTTGGGCATTGGGACCCTTTTGCTGGGTGCAGGATGCCCTGGGAAGTGCTTGGAGCAGTCACGCCTAACTTGGTATGTTTACACACACTGAGCAGCACACTAGGCAGGAGTAACAAATTGAGGTGATGCTGATAGCACAGCTTCCTGTGTTTGCTTATTAAAATGTAAGGTACAAAAGGAGCTAAGTTGTGTAGCCTTCCCTCATGTGCAGCTGCCTTGTATTGATGCAACTTCCTTGGGAGGCAAAAAATCAGCGGGAAAATCCAGGCTTTTTTTCCCACTGAGTCATGCTGTTGCAGCTATGCCAGAAGGCAGAGCTTTCTGTGTTGTGTCAGCCTTTGTGTCATAGCTTGCAAACCTCCTTCTGTTAGGGCAGCAAATCAGCTTCAAGCTCTTCTGGCTGAAGGCTTTTGGAAAGGGTAAGAGCAAGGGAAGGGAAAAAAAACTGCTTCCTTGACAGGGCAGTCTGAAAGGCTGGCTGCGGAGTATGCAACCACTTGCACAACGTTACTGCACTCTGCCACAGTGGCAAGGCGAGGACATTGCACAAGGAAAATTAGAGGAATCTGTGCTTCTGCTTTTCAGCTGGGCCTGCAGATTTGGGCATTCAGCTACTGCCAGTGTAGGCCTGAAAAGGAATATGATGGAGTTAACATTGCTTATTTTACATTATAATATTCCTTTTTTTCCTTCTTTTTTTGTAGTTCGAAGATGAATACATGAAGCACTGTGAAGCAGATTAAAGCACAGGCACCAGCGGTACATGCCAAGGCTCTGCTCCCAGACCTGTGAACTGATGCCAAGCCTCCTGCTTCCAATTACACAAGCCTTCCACGTCTTGCTCCGGAGGCTGTGAGCACAGGTTTGACCATTTCCAGGGGGTGAGGAGGGTGCTGCAGGCTCTGCCCTGCTGCTGCTGGCAACCATGCGTACAGTTCACTGGGTGAGCACCAGGAAGCAGCCCTATGCAGGTTGCAAGGCATTTCTGCTAATGCTGCAGGCTGGCCAACAGCCTCAGGGACTTCCTCTCTGTCCTGCTGCCTCAGCATTTTCTTCCAGACTATGCTATGGGAGGGTGTTGCCTGCCCTTGTTGAGGCCCCCCCTCCATGCTCTTGCTCCTTGTTTCTCAGTCTCCCAGAAGAACAGCAGCACAAGAGCTGTTTAGAGCACGGATACTGCCATGCAGGTGGAAAGGGAGAAAGAGGGGGACTGGCTACAGGGTCATCTCAGGTGAGAGTGTGGAGGGGGAGCAATTGAAAGAAAGAGATCTACCTGTGGAGGGTCAGCACCACGCTGTCAGGATGAAAGGGCTGCAGGCCTGCAGTAGCTGGAGCCTGCTCCTAAGGACCTGAAGATTATCATTGCTTGGTTCGTGGCTTTTGACCAGCACACCTGTTTCTGTGGGGTTCTGTCCCACGCAAAAGCATAAACATGTTTTTATGTCAGCTTTGGTTCATATCCAGCTAATACATACTTTTAATATATCCTGACCTGCCTGGTGGAGGCAGGCTGTGGTCAGAGACTGCCCCTGCCAGCAGCAGGGATGTGGGTAGCAATGCTGGAGCTAGGGTCAGGGAACTGCCTGTGGTGGAAAATGGGTGCTGCATGCGCTGCTGCCAGATGCACAATGACATCTAAAGCTTTAGAAGCAGTATCCGCAGCTCTGTCTCAGCTCTGCATGCCTTCTGACAGGCTTGTGTAGGGTCTCTGCTCTCTGCAAGAGCACAGGCTTGCTGCAGCTCTGTGCCCTTCTGCTGGGAAAAAGCGATGTACTGGCCAAGGTATATAGCTGCTTCAAAGCACTGCAAGGAGGAAGGAGAATGATATCTTCATGTTGAATATGGAAGAGGAGAGAAAGCACTCACAAGATGCAATTTTGTTCAGCGCAGTTACTCTGGAGAAAAAGCTGGTGAAGTGTATTCTTGCTGTCAGACAGGGCTTTGTTCCCACTGTGATTTTGAAAGAAGTTGCACTGCGCTCAGTGATGCTGTGGGAGACAGCTGCTGGTTTCTAGCCTCTGCAAGGCAGTGTAGGGGACAGTTCTGGCATCCTCAGGCCTTCCCTGACTCTGGATAACCTGATAAATCCTGACAAATTGATTTCCTGGAATGTGAGAGAAGTCATGTAGAATTTGTTTCCCTGTTCATGGAAACAAGCAGATTTCTCACTCTCATTTCTTGGCTTTTTAAGCTGTTTGGGAAGGGAAGAAGGGCAGGGTCCCTGTAGCCTTCTCCTTCTGGAAGAAACCAAAAACTTACGCTCTGTTTCATACTGTGATCTATGTCTCTCTATTATCACCCTATACTTTCTGTACAAGTGAAACCCCTGAGGCCCAGGTTAGAAGTGTGCTGAGAGCAGGCTGAGCTTGAACCTTGGGAAGAAGTTGCTGATGGGAAAAGAAACAAAAGCTGACCCCTACTTCAGATTGCCACAGGTGCATGGTGGTGATGCCATAGCATGCAAGAAATTGTTATGTGCTGAATGAAATACAGGGCCTTTGTGTCTCTTCAAACCTCTTCACAAACTGAACTTTTTAAAAAACTTTTTCAAGGAGTTGCAATTTTGATGGCAAAAATGTACAGGAATTAGTTGCACCAATCTCAGAATTAACATTTTAAAGTGTTTTGATAACCCAAAGTCTTCCCTGTTTGAAAAACAAGAGCCATTCCACTGAGAGATGTGAGAGGAAAGCGGCAGCTTTTGGGAATCTCACGGCATCTCCTCACTGAAATGCTGTGTCCTGCAGCTTTCTCCATGTCTTTTTCACAGCAAAAATTCTTTAAAAATGTTACACTTCATCTGTTTTAAGGAACAAACAGAAAACACCAAGGTTTTTCAATTCTTTCAGTTCCTCTTTTAGAAAGTGCTGAATTTTTACCCTTATGTGCAATGCTAATTTTAAGGCAGTGGGACTGAGGCGTGCTATCGAGCTTGTCCCTGCACTTTGTCACGGTTGAATATCTGCTGCCACCTGGGCCCGGGCAGGTGTCTGGGAGGCGGCTGCAGTCAGTATGTCTGTCTGTCTGTCTGTAGGCAAGCATTTCGCAGAGCAAGCAGACAGCAGAACAGGGCAATTTCTGAGTACAGAAAAAGTAGATGGAAGTTGCTGTCAGGAAGTTCAGAGTTTGAATTTAATGGTTTTCCCCTTCAGCGCTGGGAAGGCTTCATGCCTGCACCCTGCTTGGCCATTTGATGAGGTATTTATTTCCATTCAGTCAGGATAAATGTCTCTTCTTTTAAAATCACCTTGGATATTTACAGAGGGATGCTTTTATTCAAGCTGTGTCTTTTTTTTGAGTATTGTTGCTTTTTTTTTTTTTTAAGTATTGTTATGATTTTAATGTGTTTTCTACTGGTGAGGCACTGGCACAGGCTGCTCAGAGCAGCTGTATGTGCCCCATCCCTGGAGGTGCTCAAGGCCAGTCTGGACAGAGCCCTCGCAGCCTGAGCTGGTGGGGAACATCCCTACCCACCACAGAAGGGATTGGGACTGGGTGGTCTTTGAGGTCCCTTCCAACCCAAGCCACCTTGTGATTCTACTTGTTGATAACTTAGGACTGCAACATCCTAGGAAAAGAAAGGATGGTGAATGTTTCTCCAGTACTCTTTTTGACTAAACAGCTTGACTCCAACTTACATGTGTTGCAAGATACAGATAATTTACAGAGCCCAAACAAGCTGAGATCTCAATACAGTTAACAACTCCTCAATGCATACCAAGCAATAAATATCAAAAGTAGAAAGATGGGAGCAGAATGCTGTACTTCCTCAAAACTATTTTTGCACCTAATGCTGCAGGAAGTGATTGGGAAAGAATGACTTGTTCAAAATAGTTGTATCAGCCTTCCCAGTGATGAGAACTGACTGTCAGGAGGAGAGGAATCTGCTTCTTTCAACTTGCAGGGAAGAAGGTGCACAAAGAAATGGTTTTCATTTTTGTGTCCTCATTCAGCAGCAGCGCTAGAAGTAACGGAAAGCAGAGTCTGAAGGGCAGTGTCATGCATGGTGGGCAATCCTGAGCTCTTTAGGAGCCGTGGATTAGTTAGAGGGCATTGGAAAGCTGTCAGCACTAACTTTTCTCCAAGGTGCACAGGCGGGAATATTTTGTAGCTCCAGACCTTCCATAGCATTTGCAGCTTTTGTTGTAATTGCAGATATGAGATGACTATGTGAACCATACAAGATTGGTATATGAAGAAAAAGAAGTTCAATGCTCAGTACACAAGGCGTAAGTATTTACTCTTGGCAGACCCAGGACTGGGGGATGCTGTTTTTCTGCAGTACCAAAACTGTTTTCAGCAGGCTTGTAAGCTTTAATAAGTGATTTATTTTCTGGTGTAACCAATAGTGAAATGTTCTTGGGCACCAATAGCAGGAAAACACAGCCCCTCTGTAAATTAATATCAGTATTGTTCCAATTACGTTAGTTGATGGTGTGGTGGTAATGTCTAATTCTCATCTGTTCCCAACATTGATTTACCAAAAAGGGCAGAGTTGTTGGATTGGGTATCAGCTTGTTCAGCCTTTCTGATAAAGAAAGTAAATTGCTTGCAGAGTGTTTAAAAGGGTGTGCCAGGAGTACACTCATCTTTGCTCTTTAGAAGCCCTGAGGCTCTGCTGTGGGAGACCCCAGGATCTCTTCAGCAAGGTTTGCCACATGGTAAGCCCCAGAGTCTCAAAGGGCTGGTGTGGACTGCAAGTCAGTCCGATGCCTTTTTTGATTTCTGGCTTGTGACTTCCTGGTGGCAGCACCCGGCTGACAGACTAGTACTGCAATGGCTGTGTTTCTAACTGTCTTTTCCTGACATAGCATTGTAGCTTTGTTCCTGTGAGAGGATGTAATGCGAAAGAGTGAGGAGGCAGGGGCTGTAGTAGATGTCTGCATGAAGGACTTTAAGAATGGCCTTCATGGCTGCTGACACACTATGTGGCTGTAACTCTGAAACAAATGGCTTGCCATGTTTTCAAGTTTAGGCAGCTGAAATAGGAGAGAAAGATAAACATCAATGGATCTCTTACAGATAAAGTTTGAATCTGATAAAAATAATCCTAATAAAATTCCTTCCTAATAAAATTGCACAGGATTTTAATTGTTACAAGTTGCTATCCAAAAACAAGTTCAAAACTCCGCATTTATCCTTTCTGTTAACTACAGCAAAATGTTCAACCAAAGTAAACAGAAACCAGCAACTAAGCTGATGTGGCAAGTGTGGGTGATCTACATAGCCTTGGCTGCACACCTCCGTGAAGAA